CATCACAATCAGCACAACATTCATATTCAAACTGGTGGATTGTCTTGACCAGTGAACACAGAAGACCAGCTCACAGATGCCATAGATCGTAGACACTGTCTCCAAGGCCATCCTCTGGGATAAAAACAGTGGGGGACATGGCCACAGCCCCCACAACAGAGGAAGTAAACAACTCACTACTAATCATCAATTTTAATAGAAAAAATTGAAAAAATGTTATCTAAAAAAAGTCAAGAAGTAGCATATAAACATGTTCCTTGGAGACATGAAAACAAATATATCAAATAATCAGCAAAAAGAAGAGAAAGTGGTTACTTCCAGAGAAGAGGAAATGGGGAAGGGGACAAGAAATCACTATTGTTTATAATAAATCTCACAGAGTTTCATTAAGCTGAATACTTGTATTATCTGAAGAAAAAATAAATACTAAAAAGAAAGAAAAAAATATGAATAAACGCCAAACAAAACAAACAAAACAAATCAGCAAACAAAGAACTGAAGGAAATAAATAGTGAGGAGCAAAAATTAATAAAAATAAAATAGAATGGACTTGCAAAGTCAAATGTTTATTCATTAAAAATTCTAATAAAAAAGGCAAACCTCTGAGAAGACATATATTTAAAAAGACAAAAAATAAATATTATTATAAATTCATTCTTCCATTCAACAAACCAGTACTGAGACCTGACATGCCAAACATATGACAGCAAACAAGACTAAATTCATTCCTTAAGGATCTAAGGGGAAAAAAGATATTTAAACAGGAAACAGAAAGCACTAAGAATAAAGATCAAGCCAAGCGTGGTGGCACATGCCTGTAATCCCAGCAGCTCGGGAGGTTGAGGCAGGAAGATCAATAAATCAAAGCCAGGCAAATTCAAAGCCAGCCTCAGCAAAAGCAAGGCCCTAAGCAACTCCGTAAGATCCTGTCTCTAAATAAAATACAAAATAAGGGCTGGGGATGTGGCTCAGTGGCCGAGTGGCCCTGAGTTCAATCCCTGGTATCAAAAAAAAAAAAAAAAAAAGAATAAAGATCAAAGAGATAAAGACTAATGTATTTTACTTCATTAAATAAGAACTCCTGCTAGAGACAGAGAGACATGGGGGAAAAACAACAAGAGTATAGATTCCTGACTATATGTAACACCTATACATAATAGAAAAAGATAAGCTATCATAGAAAATGGGCATAGAATAGGAATATTTAAGTGACAGAACACAAATAATCAATAACATGAAAAAAATGTTCAAACTCTCCAGTAAATAAAGGGAATACAAATAAAACCACAGTGATGCTATTTCTTGGGAGCAAGACTAGCAACATTTTTTAAGTTTTACAAATCCAGGTTTGGGCAAGCAACTCCTTAGACAAGAACTTGCATCAACTGTAAGTGTAATTTATAACAATTAACTTGACAAAAAATTGGGGAATATCTAATAAAGTTGAAGTAGTGTATATCCTTAAGCCTAGTATTGCTAAATCTGTGAATATACCCAAAGAAAATATGTATAAGAATATTCAGGTTGTCATTATTTACAACAGTGAAGAAAAATCTGGATATAGCCTATGTACCTAACCATCAGGAGAATGAATACTTTAAAAAAAAGTTTTAAAAAGTAACCTAGAGCTATATACCTCAATATGGATTTGAAAAAAAAGTATGTTCTGGAAAAGCTTCCATAGTACAATACATATATTTACCTCAATATGGATTTGAAAAAAAAGTAAGTTCTGGAAAAGCTTCCATAGTACAATACATATATTTATGGGAAGGAAGATGAATACTGCTTAGAGCTACAGATATATGTGGAAAACCCACAAAGAGAAGCTTGGAAAATACTGGTGTAAAATCAAGCTAATGGCTGTCTCTGGTGTACAAGGAGGAAGATGTGATGAGGAGAGCCACAGTGGACTTCCATTATGTTATGTTCCATTTCTTAAGCTGAATGGCAGGGCATGAGTACTGTTTCCATATCATCCTTTAAACTGTTCAAAAAATTATACACTCTTTTTTTTGTATATTCAATGTAGAGTATTCAAAATAAATGTATTTCCAAGTAAAAAAAGGAAATGATAATGGTAAGTGCAGAAGTAAAATTATATCATGGAAGAATAATATATAAGAAATTATTCTCTTAAAAAAATCCCAGTAAATTTAAAAGAAAAAAATGCAGGTCAACTAGTAAAATGAAAAAGAGAACCTAACACATGATGTTAAAACCTTAGATGAGTACTCTTCATGGTTGTAAACTCATGCATTTTATAGCTCAAGGAAAAAAAAAAAACATGTTAAAGATAAAAAGGTAAAATGTACAGCTGGTAGAACACAAACCTAACAGGGTGATAAATAAGAAACAAATTATATAAGTGATTAGCAAACTACTCAAATTAAGAGATCAGGTAGCCTTTTGTTTTCTGAGTTAATGAAATAAACAATTTCTGTGTAATTATACTTTTGGAAAAGGAAAGAAATGCAAGTTTTAAGAGCTGATAGATCTCATGCTGGCCTTTTGCCAATCCGGACTTACCACTTAATAGCAATAATAAATCAGTTCAGATTAGTTATCCCCCTCAGGCTCAGTTATCTGTGAAACAGGATTCATTGTACTTGCTTCACAGGTTGTAAGAATTAAATAGGCAGCAAATATATATTTCCTGCAAAATCACCAGGTATAATGCTCACATATTAGCTCTCTCCTCCCTTTACTACCTCATGGCCCAGAGAACAGAAAAATTAAAAAAGAAAACTCTCTGAAGGACTTTTTCTTACCACGATTAAAAATAACTGTCTATTCTAAACTAAGAGTAAGGTGTGCAACAATGAAAAAGTTCTAGATAGAATACATGGTGAGTAGCCCTTATTTGAAATGCCTGGGACCAGAAGTGTTTTAGATTTCTTTGGATTTGTATATACATAATGAGATACCTTAGAGTTGGGATCCACACTTAAACATGAAATTCAGACAGAAGGTAATTTAATACGATACTTTCAGTGTACCTGCATTTTTTACTGTGGCCTGTTCCATGAAATCAAGTGTGTAATTTTCTACTTGTGGCCAGCATGTCAGCACTCAAAAAATTTTGGGATTTTGGAGCATTTCAGATTTTGAATTTTTGGATTAAGGATGCTCAATCTATATTTTGAGAATCAGAAATAAATCCTATTATTATTCTATATAGTCTTTGGAGTCCTAAACAGTCATTAAGAAATGAAACAGAAATTAGAAAAACTAAAAACAAATTGAATAAACACTTTAAAAATGAATATGAATTAGAGTGACAAGAGGATAATATGCACTTGGAAAGGATTAGTATTTCTTTTTCTTTCTTTCTTTTTTTTTTGTGGTTTTTTTTTTTTTTTTTTTTTTTGGTACTGGGATTGAACCCAGGGGTGCTTAACCACTGAGTCACATCCCCAGCTCTTTTTAATATATTTTATTAAGAGACAGGGTCTCATAAATTTCTTACGGCCTCACTAAGTTGTGAGGCTGGCTTTGAACCCACAATCCTCCTGCCTCAGCCTCTGGGATTACAGGCATGAGCCACCAACCATGCCTGGTTAGAATTAACATTTCTTTATAGCAGAATTTCCAGTTTAAAAAAACAAAAGAGGTGACAGTTCTATTAAAAATATACATACATGCATATACATATAAATTATAATTTTAATGGGAAATGGAGTAAGAAGGAAACTATTGAGTTTTATTGAAAGATATAAAATAACACACCTTCCATGACTGGGAAAAGGACCTGGGAGGAACTGAACTATTACTGTCGGTGTTTTCATGTTATCACCCACACCTGACTATAAAACCCTTCTAGGCATAAACATCTTTCAAAAAAATAGTCTTTCCTGATTGTACTACTCCAGCACAATAGAAAATTAGTGTTAATGATGAGTAAATGGCTAACTGAATGATTCAAATAAAAGCAGTTATATCAGAGTGATAGAATTGTGGATAAATTTCTTTTTTCTGAATCCCCTTTCCCTTGCTTGCTGGTTATAACTCATTTGTGTAACATAGAATGAAACATTAAAAATACCTGTTGGGTTGTAATACAACATAGAAACTCAGAGAAGATTCAGAATTCTATTGTAGTAATTTAAAGGATTTTGATAACTGAGTTTTGAAAATAAGATCGAGTCCCAGACATTCCAGGTGTGCAGTTATTTACTGTAAGATATAAATTCCTGCCTACTTCACTGGGTTACTATGAAAAAATAAAATTAAAGGTCTGCAAATATATTTTATAGGATGCAAAATGATAGCTGCAAGTGCAATATTATAGTGTTTTAAAATAAAGGAATGAGCCTTTTGAATATCAGATGACCATGGAAAGATGTACCCCCTACCCTTAAGAACCCAGACCCAATGGACTCCTTAGGACAAGCAATACCACTAAACTGCTGTATTCTCTGAAATCCCAAGCAAAAGGTCTATGCCACTTACCAGGTGCCAAGCATTGTACTAGGCATGAGCAATACAGCAAAAGATATGACAAACCAAGCTCTCTAGCACAATGCCTGGCAAAAGGTAGAGGACAATGAAATCTTGATTGAATGTATATCCATGTGGATGAAGAAATATGAGGTAGTTGAAGAAATGTGCAATGTTTTGCTAGAAAGAGAGGAGCTTAATAGGCATTTAACTGGCCTTTAAGCTGCCCTGCTGTGTGGTTCCTCCCCACTAGAGACGTTTCAGTAGACATTATACTGTCAGATGTAGTAGAGGAAGCTCAAGCATGGGGTTGGGGAACAACGGCCCAGATGATATTTTCTAAAACTGAAACTATTCATCTATGCCAAACAAGGAGAGAAAAAAGAAATCATGGGGGGAGGGTTCAGAGAGGCACAAACTGGCACAAGAAAGGCATGCCACAATTTGGCAATGCATGCTGGGAGACATATGCAGCAACAGGCCTGGCATGTTAGTTGAGATTTCATGCCTATCCTGACCATTTGGGTCCCTCCCAAGGTCCCCATACTTGTGATTCTTACCAAGAGAGAAGTCTCCTGAGGTGTCCTCTGGGATCCATTCTTCCCCTTTTCCCAGTTGAGAAAATATATCTGGTTTGGGTCCTAACAGTCCTGTTTTTGAGGGGGAAAAATGGACCAATCTGTTCATAATAGTGATAAAAAATCATTGCAAGGATGAGGCCTGGTCCTCAGAACTTCCTAGCAAAGGTAATCTGATAGGAAGATCCAGGGTGGACAACATGCTCACAGTGAGAGAAAGAAGTGGCTCAGGTCTGACAATCTGCTTCTAGGCCCCACCCTGCTGAAAGAGTTCAGGGAGAATTTGACTCCTAGCCACTTTTGAGGCATCTCCACTTGAGACTCTAAAAGCCTGGGGACACCAAGGATAGGCAAGTAGCAGCTTTGAAGATAACATCCTTAATTGGCCCATTTCCAACCCAATGTTTAGTGTGGCTTCAGTTTAAGGGTCCTAACAAATCCCCAAAAGTGAAGATAAATCTTTCAAGGCTCCCACCTTACCTAATGAGACTAAGTTGCTGTAGTTTTCCAGCATCACATCCTTGTACAGGGCTCGCTGGGCATGGCTTAGTTGCCCCCATTCCTCCTGGGTGAAAAGCACAGCCACATCTTTGAAGGTCACCGAGTCCTGTAATAGCAAATCCATTCTTATTGACCGGGGGCTATTCTGGGGAAGCTGAGACTGGCTGTCCCCAGGAGCTTGTTAGGATTCACAGGACTATTAGCTATAGGGAGCTGGTATACTGAGACAGGTTAGGCATTTCCTCTAGGTCTCTGAAAGGCTTATTTTTGTATTAAAAGTTTTTCCTCCGTTTTGAAGATATAGATGGTAGTGACTGAGCACTAGGACCATACACTTGCTGTTCATTTTGCCCTCAACATTTTCTCTCATCTCCCTCAATCTGCCCAGCCCTGCTTCTGGCCTCCCTCATATGACTAAATCCTACTTAGGTCTCAGCTTGGACATTCCTTCCTCAGCACAGCCTTCCCTGACTGCTTCTACAGTTACCTATGTGGGCCCATCAAAGTAGTGGCCCACTTTATTGTGATTTTTGGTTTACTTTCGGTCTCCCTCACTGCCTATTTTCAAGAAGGCATTAAGCAGTTCTATATTTCCTTTATTTTCTTAGTATCTACAATATGGTTTGAGGAGTCAGCACCTATTATAGTCATGCAACACATAATGATGTTTTGGTCAATGACAGACTGTGCATACAGAGGTGTTCCCATAAGATTATAATGGAGTTGAAAAATCCCTATTGCCTGGTGATATTATAGCCACTGTAAAATCTTAGCACAACGTATTACTTTTGTGTTTGTGGTGATGCTGGTGTAAACAATCCTACTGCACAGTTAGTCATATAACAGTATAATATATATGGTCAAGTACTAATATATACTATACTGTGCTAATATTTGATAATTATGGTAAATAACCATGTTACTGATTAATGTATTCTCTATATTTTTTGTCATTATTTTAGAGTGTACAACTAGTTTACTATAAAACAGTATGCTGTGTTAATGCTGGCAAGAACCTCATATATCTAGTGTTTCTTGAATCTCTTCATTGTATCAAGATGCCACATTGAGTGACTGATCTGGACCATCTAGATTTTCACTAATACTCTTTATGTTAGAGAAAAATAAAAGGGTGAAATTGCCTAAGGATGCATTTCTCAGAATGTGTTCCATTGTTAAGTGATATAAACTGTATTTGTTTTTCAGCAATTCCTGCTTTTCTTCAACTGCTCATCTGCCACCCCCAACATATGTGCGAGCATGCACGCACACACACATATGTCCCATGTAAACAGTAATTCTGTACCTTGGGTCAATGTCCCCTCAACTACAAATAATCCTTTTCTTTGAAATTCTGTAACAAGGACAGAGAAGAAGCAGTCTCTATCAGGTATATGCAATCTAACATGTAAAAGTCAACAACTTTCACATCACTGGTCTTCTTGGCCAACAGAAGAGCCAAGGGAGCTGGTATACACTGTAAAGAGTTAAGCTGAAGTCAGAAAAGAAAGCCAAGGGTCTAACAGAAAGGACTTTTAGATTATTCTAAAACCCTCTTACACAGCAAAAGTCTAGCTGTATCTTTGTCTTTGGCTTTAGATAGATACCTCAGTATCTTTCTAGTAAATGCCAGCTTTTGCTTATGGTAGTACTTGAAAGAATGCTAGTGGAAAGATTTTTATTTCAAACAAACCTGTGTTCCAGTTCCAGTTGTGCCATTGATGACCTTTAACAAGTTACTTAACTCCAACACCCGCTACCATGAGCCCAATACGAGTAGGGAGGGAGTGACTCGGGTCAAGTGTCTGGGGGAGGCTAGTGTAGAAGTAAAGCTCCAGCTCAGGGAAAACAACAGCTTCACACTCTTCATATCTAGAAGGCAATTTAGGCAACACTCTCTCACTCACCTGGACTATGGTGGGCAGGTAACTGACAGCCATTCCTTCTTTGATGAGCCCTCTTAGGGATAGGCAAAGTGCTGAGGAGGCAAGTGGGCAGCTTTGCAACTGCAGGATTCCTAAGAGTAGAAATGTCTAGAAACCTGTTATGAGGAGAGGACTGGGTCAAAAAATACCACATAGCATCTGGGAGTGAGTCTGTAAGCATTCATATCCTGGGAATCCCCCTGTATCCGAAAGCTATGAACTCTTTGGTCTTTCTTTGTTCCCAATTTTCTTCCCTGCTTCTGAAAGCATTTTTTCTTTTCCTCCACTGTTAAGTGAATTGCTCACCATGCAACTTTCCCCTCATCACATCTTTCCTTTACTCAAAAACTCCATGCCTTCCCTTCTGTATTTTAGGGAATGAAGTTTTTATTTTATTTTTTTTTATGGTGCTAGGGTTTGAACCCACAGCTTAATGCATGCAAGGCAAGCACTCTACCAATTGAACTATATCCCCAGCCCCTCCCTTCTGTATTTCAATACTTGGACTTCTTGCAGAAAGCCCTGCTCCACTGCCAGCTCTCACACTTTCTACCCATCCTCTATCCTTTACTGCTTTAGCAGTGCTGAGGAGTCAAGAAATTGTCTCTCCTCCTAGGGCAGCTAACTCGGAGGAGTGAAGAAATCGGGAAGGGGGTGAACTTCCTCCTGAAAAAGGAGGCAAGCTAAGTAGATCTTCATTGTGTATGTATCTCTCTTAGGCTAAGCCCTTCTCTGGGGCCATCTGGGCGACCTGGAACCAAAGGCAGGCCAGAAACAATGTATTTGTGGGAGCGGGGTGAGAAAGGAGTACGGGATCAAGAGTCCTTCCTGCAATCACCCTCGGCGGCTTCATTAGGTACTCCGGGGAGCTACTGCAAGGGCTGCACTGCAGCTGTCCCTGCACTAGGCAAGTTCCTCATGCACAGCTCTGAAACGCATCGGGAATACAACTATCCCCGAAGTATAAATGGGCTTTCCAGGGTCCGCTCCAAGACGCTAGAGGCCCCGCCCCATGGTCCTCCACAAGCACTCTGATTCGAACCCCAAGCCCAAGATGCCCACTCCAGACCGTCCTCCTTTTTTTATTCCCCCCGCCCCGGTTTGGAATCAAATCTCAGACATACATTCTGGAAAGTCTGGGGCATTTGGTCAGTATCCTCCAGAATGGACCGCAACCCAAAAATCCTCAGTTTCCCTTCCGCCCTTCTTCCCAGACCTGACCACCCCACAGCTGCTTCCGCTCTCCCTTTGCGACTTTGGTCACCGTGCCTGGTCGCCGCTGGGTTGCCCTTGCAGAAGCCTCCGCTGGTGGCGAGAAACCGCAACCACCACATCGCATTCAGAACACAATGAGCAGGAGTCTGCAGCCTGGATCTGCACTGCGCTTGCGCGTTGCCCTGGGAACCGCGGAGCCGAATTCCCACAAGCCTTAGGTCGGCTGAGCTAGGGCTGCCGGACTCCACTTCCCAGGAGAATTGGCGGAGAAAATGATGGCGTGCGCCTGCGCGGACAATGATCTGCGCTCCAGCGCCCGGGACTAGCGGTTTGGGATGCTGAACTACGTTTCCCAGGAGCCTCGCGGGTGCATCCTCGTTCGCCTTATTCAACTAAACCTCCACGCATAACCGCTGTGCACGGATTCTGTTCCGTTCTGTGCAGATTCGGCGTGGGCCTCTACCTTGAAATAAAGCCCAGGAAACTATACACCAGGAACAGTTGATCAGCGATGAGGGAGAGTCCAGCGGAGCGGCGCCTGATGTGGTGACAAGAGCGGATCGGTTAAGGTCTCCGGAGACAGTAGGAGAGCCAAATGGCACGTTCTTGGAGAACGGTGCCAAAAAGACTCGAAAAGCTGGCGGGATTGCGCCCTTTGCCCCGAAGAAGCACTGGGTATTACCCATCTGGCCCTGCAGTCGACCAGGGCGTGGATTCCGAGACGTCACGATAATTTCTTCAGTGGGAGGAAATTTCTTTTAGTGCGAGCACAGGGACATTGGGGTGAAGGCCCTTAGAGCAGGGCAGACTGCGACTCAGAACAGAGCTGATGGCAGCTTGAACCCGGCTGGTGACTGAGGGAACCCAGAACGGTACTGATAAATGCCCAAGACAGAATAGACTTACGTCTTGATAACTTATCAAACAGGGCTGAGGGAGGGGAAGGGAACTTGGATCCCAATGAGTCTTATTCTTAAACAAGTGGATAATGTTTAGAAGTTGGTGTTTATTTGTATTGAGGATGCAGTGATGTGTAAGGATATTCCACTGGAGATATTTAGTTGCATTTGAATACATGACTTTCATGGAGCTCAGGAAGGAAAGATTAGAGGGTTTTAACTTTGTTGTTGGTAAAATAAAATTTAAAAGGCAAGAATGTCACTTGAGATTTGCCACTTAAGGAATTGTTGGCCACCTTTTAGGGAGCAACGTCAATGACTTTATGTGACACCATAGCATTCTATTTGGGGTTTTATTGATGATTTTATTCCACCAACACCTTTATCAACTCTAAATACCCTTCCTCAGGATAATGGCTAGTTCCTACGTTTGTTTGCTAAACCCTGTTACAAGACCCCTGCAGTAAGGATGTAGTAAAAGCTTCCTTTAGCTTCACTTCCTATAACTTCCTTCTACTTAACGCCCTAAATATACACTGTATTAGCCTTCTTGTAGTTACTCCTTTATTCACACACACTCCCCCCCGCCCCAACTTCCCATTTCCCTTGTCTTCTTTGCACCAACTGGCTCACTCCAATGGTACCCTGTGCTAGGAGCTACTTTGCAGTAGGGACTAGGGGTCTTTCATCCTAGAATTGATAGGAGCTGACTTACACACTATGAGTAGGAGCAGTATCTTATCATACTTGTTCAAATGTACAGTGCAAAAGCAATCAAGTGTGTGGACTGCAGGCATGAACTAACTTATGCCAAATGTGTATATACACAAGAAAGTAACCCACCTCAACTATATCCTAAGCACTCATCCAGATCTGGTGTGTGTGTGTGTGTGTGTGTGTGTGTGTATGTGTGTGTTTAGAAGCCCAATGCAGTCTCCATAATCATCCAAGTTTAGGGGGCTGTTTATGCATTATCTACAAGAGGGGTACTGGCACCATAGTCTGCTGCTCCACCTGTGTTACAGAACCCAGATTGCTAACCTATTTAAGTGTGTAAATGGCCCAATTTGTCTTTTGAGCTCAGTTACAGATAAAATATAACTAATCACCCCATTCTGTGTAGTTGCAGAGGACCCTGCGTTTCTTGCTCTTTAGAAGTCATTCAATACATCCAAATTCTCTTTTACTGACTCTCCTGCCATGAATTCCTTTAGGGCTCTCGATCCCCAGAAACTACTGAGAAGGTACTTAGTAAATATCTAAAGGCATATTGGTCATGGCTATCTGTCTGTTGCTCATAGGCCTGACAACATCTACAGTGACCATATGGTAGCCTCCACCCCACCAGCTGATTGGAAAAGGGACAGATACTTGGCCAAAAAAGTGACTTTTAAGACAGAGCCTGTCTTAAAAGGATGATCTGGACCAATTAGGTTTCTTTCATGAAATTTTAGAATTAAGAGAGATACAAGGGTCAGATAGGAGACCTGATGATTCTGGGTCACATGAATTTAATTTTAAGTAAAGGAAGCCAAGGTAACTGAGATAATGGAAAAAACACAGCAATGGGAGCCCATATGGTGGTGGTAGTAGTGACAAGGGGAAGGGCACAGAGAGAGCGCACCTACAAATCCTTGGCTAATGATGGTTCTCAGTTGTCACAGAGTCTGGCTATACTGCATTTCAAGTGGCACACACAAAAAGTCCTCAAATATTATAGAAGTTACAATTCTACTTGAGAATTGAGACCAAAGTAAGACTGGGTTTAACAAGAGGACGCTATAACCAAGGTATTCTCACTCAGACCCTTACACTTTGAATATTCTATCCAGGTGTTTTACAAATAAATATCCTCCTTTCTCTCATTTCAAGCACAGAGGAATGAGGAGGATGGAGCAAATCACTGGCCATGAGCTTCTCCACTATTCTTCCCCATTTCCTGCTTAAACACACCCCTTGACTCATCCTGCTGATTCTGGGGCTCCTTGACTATACTCATATATAAACTCATGGAGTCTTGTGGAGAGCCATTCTCACACGTGACTGGGCGACTCCCGGTTTGGGTCTGAGGCGCTCTGACTAATCTGTGTCGGAGCTTTCCCGGCCCTCTCCTGATGAGAGAACCCTTCCTTGTGGGGGTGTGACTGACCACTGACCCCGGGGGCCCAATCACTGACCCTGACCTTGGAGTGCGGCCCCCCCTCAACCTTCATTGGATGGAATTCTCCCCTGAATTTCTTGTTCCCCAATAAAAGGCTACTCCCTGGCGTGCTCGCCCTCTCTCTCTCCTGCTAGCCCTGAGTAATCCTTGCTGCCCTACGGGTGGTTCAAGGTTGGAGCCAGAGAGGGGAGCCGTCTCGGACCTGGTCATAGAAAAAGGTAACTGAGTCTGTGTGTTTTATTTCGATCTCTGCTAGCTAACTTTTATGCCGAGAACCTCATTAATGAAACCAGTGCACTGGTCGCATGGTGGAGAGTCTGAACAGGCAAAGAAGGAATTTAACACTGAACTAATTGTATCCCCCAAAACTTAGATTTTCAGTAATTACTCTTTCTTATATCCATTCTACTCCTTTCCCTTCATATGTTTGTATTCCACCTGATCTCAAGAGAAAGAAATGAATTAAGAAGAAGGGGGGCAGAGAAGGGATGGGTAGAAAAGAAATTAAAATGACGAAGACAGAAGAAAAATAAAGGTTCAAAAGGAAGGCATAAAACAAGGGGGAGAGAAAGTAATGAAGGTGCTGAAGCTTTGTATGGCAATGAGTTGAAGTCAGTAAGATTTTAACCCTGAGTAGTGATTGCCCAGAGACTCTGGACTGCTTAGGAGCTAAACAATGAGAGATTATAGGCACTTACTCCACTATTGCCCACATTTTCTGGACCCACGATTTATTTATTCCAACCACTCTTATTAGAAAATTTCCCTCCTCTTGTTGAAAGTATTCCTAAAGCCTCTGTGTGCCAAATCTTATTTTCCTCGTCTGAGCTGTACATCTACTCATTGCTGTCTCCTGACTCTCTCATGCCTCTTTTCAGTTGTAAACATAATCATCCTATCTTATATCATGCAAACGCTCCCTGGTAGATGGATGGCTAAATCAGCCCTAACCCCTTAATTGGCCTACCTCTACTACAAAGGCTGAAAGGGCTAGGCTCTCCTTTTTTTAGCCTCCCTTGCTGCTAGGAGTGGTCATGTAACAGTTGTGGCCCATAAGATGCAAGCAGGTGTGTGCTAAAGAGCTTCTGGGAAATCTTTTCTGATAAAAGGCACAGATGTTGCTGGTCCTTCTCAAACCCTTTCTTCCTGATTTGAATGCAGACATTTTACCTGAAGCTATGGATGCCATCATGCAACCAGGATGGAAATCCCTTGAAATGTAAATCATTCAATTATCTTATCTGTGGATCAATGCTGACCACCTCCACATTTGTCATTTGAGAAAAACACCCCTACTTGCCTAAAACATTGTTAAGAAGGATTCTGAATATCTGTAGCCAAAGGTCTTCTAATAGGTAAATCCCTTCTCAGCCCTCATTTCCTTGGTCATCTTTCTAAATCTCTCCCATATCAGTAAAGCTACTAAGTCATTTTCAACATTTAACTCACTCTTCAAACACATTAAAATTTATGTGTTTTAAATTGATAATCAAAAACAAAGGTTAGAGCCAGGCACGATGGCATGAGCCTGTAATCCCAGCAGCTCAGGAGGCTGAGGCAGAAGGATCACAAGTTCAAAGCCAGCCTCAGCAATGGCAAGGCGCTAAGCAACTCAGTGAGACCTGTCTTTAAATAAAATACAAAATAGGGCCAGGGATGTGGCTCAATGGCTGAGTGTCCCTGAACCCAATCTTCATTACCCCCCCACCCAAAAAAGCAAAGTACAGGGCTGGGGATACAGCTCATTTGGTAGAGTGCTTGCCTCATGCACAAGGCTCTGGGCTCAATCCCCAGAACCATAAAAAAATTAAAGTACTTTATTCTGAAGCATTTGATATTAACTATTCCCATCTCTGTTAAAAATTTCCTTTTACTTCTGTGGTTTCATTGCTTCCTGATTTTCCTGTTAATATTTTTCTTTTGATAGTTCATTCCTCTCAGCTTTTACTGATTCCTCTTTTGCTTCACTTTCCTCACCAGTGACAGTACTCCCAGTGTGCCCTGTACCACTTTTCTTATTCTACTTCTTCTCAGGACTCTTTTCTTGGATGTTCCAGAGACACATCAAAACGCCTTCAAACAGAACACATCATTGTTGCACAAAGATGGATAATTTATGGGGTTTTAATTATGGAATCCCAATCTACACAAATAGGAAATTTAAGTCATCCTTCTATTTCAAATAGCCATACCTAATCAGTTACAGCTTTTTTTAGATTGTGCCAAATTATAAATTATTGCTTGACTTTTCTTTTCCTATCCCATTATACTGCCACTTTCTTAGTTTATCCTTTAAAAATAAAGAATGAATCTTAAATCATTTTGACTAATCATGTCTAGCCCATATTTAGGACTTGGCAAATTTGTGTGAAAGAAATGAAATTAAACTACTATCATCATAACAGATCTATAAAATATCCCTATGATTGTTCTGAATGTTTTGAGTTGCAAATATTGTGTTAATATGCTAAATTTCCATATTTCTTAGTGTTCACGCCTTCAGTCAATGTCCCTGAGCTCAATCCCTGGTATCAACTATCATTCTGATAGCTGAATATGACATAAAGATATGTATTTATTTGATTCTTCTGTGCTTAAATACAATATTAAATTATGTTGTTTTCTAAATAATCAGCTAATTTAACAACAGTTTAAGACTATGAAGAACTCAAAATAGCATGCTATTACATTAAGATTTGTACAATTATTCTATTATCTGGAAGAAATCAGCCTACATTTTAAGGTAGAAAGTAATGCAGGGAAAGAGAGAAGGACATGGAAGGGCATTAGAAATTGATAGAGTTAGAAAATTTTGACTCGAAACATCCAAGGAAACCTTACTGTGGAAAAGAAGCACCTAGACAACATACATAACAGAGTAAAAGGCCAAAGATTTCCTGGCATCATGGTTTATAACATTTTAGCTAATAGGGATCCCCCAGACCTTTTACATCCAAAATCTCTCATTTACTAGGTAAGAAAATTGTGACCTGCTAAAAGTGAGTAACTTGTCCAAGTTAGCGGCAGGTCAGGACTACAAACCAGGTCTTTGGGCTATCCAGTTAAGCACTGACACATTTTCTCTCCAGTGTGAATTCTCAGATGTCCCAAGGAGAATTTGCAGTATGATACAATAGAACTTACCTTGAGCATGAATGTTCACTGTTTATACATTACTTTCTCAAACCTTCTGTTAAAAAGTACATTTTATCTTTTGAATCCAGATTTCTTCACTTCCATATGATTTCTCTGCTGTGGTCTATGTTATCCAACATGGTAGATTGTATGTCAACTAAAAATTACCCACAACTGTTACCTTTATTAGGTGTCTACCTCAACATGACTTTATCTGATTACTGAAGAGTTAATCATGATGAAGGGGACAGTAAACACTGTCCTTAGGTGTGAGTTCTTTGATGTCTTGTAAGGTTTGTACTCCGACTGAAGGCTTTTCCACATTCAGTACACTGATAGGGTTTCTCTCCTGTATGAGTTCTCTGATGTACTATAAGGGATGAATTCTTAATGAAAGCTTTCCCACACTGATCACATTCATAGGGTTTCTCACCAGTATGAATTCGTTGATGCTCAATAAGATATGCACTCTGGCTGAAGGCTTTTCCACATTCATTGCATTCATAAGGTTTCTCTCCAGTGTGAATAACCTGATGTACAGTAAGGGATGATCGCCCAGTGAAATGTTTGCCACATACCATACACTCATAAGGCTTCTCTCCAGTATGAATTCTCCGATGTTGAGTAAGTGATGAATTCTTACTGAAAGCTTTTCCACACTGATTGCATTCAAAAGGTTTTACTCCAGAGTGCAGTCTCTGATGTTCTATAAGGTATGTACTTTGGCTAAAGGATTTCCCACATTTGTTACATTTGTAAGGTTTTTCTCCAGTGTGATTTCGCTGATGTAGGGTAAGAGTTGAACTCTTACTAAAGGCTTTTCCACATTCACTACACTCATAAGGTTTTTCTCCAGTGTGACTTCTCTGATGAACAATAAGATGCATGCTTTGACTGAAGGCTTTTCCACATTCATTACATTCATAGGGTTTTTCTCCTGTATGAGTTCTCTGATGCACAGTAAGATTCATGCTTTGTGTAAAGGCTTTCCCACATTCATTACATTTATAGGGTTTCTCTCCAGTATGAATTCTTTCATGTTGAATAAGGGATGAATTCTTGCGGAAGGCTTTTCCACACTCTTTGCACTGATAAGGTTTCTCTCCAGTATGAGTTCTTTGATGAACAGTAAGATTCATGCTCTGACTGAAGGCTTTCCCACACTCACTACATTTGTAAGGTTTCTCTCCAGTATGAATTCTTTGGTGTACAGTAAGAGATGAGCGTTCAATAAAATGCTTGCCACATACATTGCATCTATATGGTTTCTCCCCAGTATGGATCCTCTGGTGTTTAAGAAGTGATGAGCTCTGGCTGAAGGTTTTCCTGCATTCATTACATTCATAGATTTTCCTTCCTACAAACATTCTTTGATTTTTCATTAATTCAGAATTTTGTTTGGAGTCTTTTCCTTGTGAAATCCAATTACAGGATCTTTTTGCCATGGAAATGCTTTGTGGTGTATCAAGGACTGAACCCTGATTGGAAAATCTTTCAAATTCATCCCCTCTACATACCCTTCTCTCTGTGAGGGTTTCCTCGTGGGTAAATGCCATTTGGCCCAGATGTTTCTCCTGTTGCCCCTCTAACCAATTTCCAGGTTCCCAGGTTTCCCCTAAGGTTGAATGCCAGACATGTTCCCTTTCCACTATGACCCCATGGGATAAATCTTCAGTAATGCTGGGTTTTGGAGCTGACTGTTTGTTTTCCCAATCTGGAAAAAAAATTCAAAGGTATATTAGTTTGTATGCTAGGAGACAAAAAATTGTATAAGGTAGTAATGAGAAATTAAACTAGAATAACTATTAGATATGTTTTAGAACTTTCAAAGATACCTTTACAATAACATAGAGAAATTGGAAAGGAAGGAAAAAACAGTGAACCAGTTGATGGAAAACAGGGGAACTAGAAGACAGGGATAGAAGATCTACTGGGCAAGCAGAGAAAGGAGTGAGCTCATTAAGGAGTGATGGACAAACAATGAAGATGAACAAAGGGAAAATATTCAGAAGACCTAGGATTGGTGGAAGATGACAGAAAGTCCTGCTACCTCATACTTGATATTCCTACCAGCAGTTTCTTTTACTCCCACAAGGCTGCTTAGAATTATGTACCAAATAATCTTCATAAAGCATCACAATGTGACATAGTAAAAAGACCGTTGATCCTAGAGTCAGAAAAATGGGTTCAAACCATGACTTTTAACACTTTTTCCTTATTTCTCTTGGTCTGATTTTTCACTGATTTAAATTACAAGTAAAGAAAATCTTATAAGGAGTAGGTAAGATAATGTACACAAACTACCCTTGGGCAACAGACTTGTTTGCAACAAAAATATCTGGACATACTTGAAACTGATGTGATCCACAGGCTTTTTCTCCTTCAACTTTAAGTAGGCTCACAGAGTTAAGAGAATCCTAAAGAGTTCTACACTTTCCTAAATATCTTCTCCAGGAAGGTGAGAACTAGTGGCATGGCAGGGGCAGGCAAAGGAGAACTGTTGAGCTGCTGGAGAGGGCCTAAAGGAAGGAAATTGGAGTCACTCAGACTTTATTTTCTCAGATCCCATAGACAATGGGGGGGGAGAGAATAGAAAACTATAATCTCAGGATTATAGTTGCTTATCCAAGTCAAGAGAGCAGAGATAAGACAATCAATGATCTAAAGGCTGTGAGCACAGGCCTGACTGAAGCAAGAGATGCATTAAATGGGTTCCCCTCCAACCTGACCTGTTTATATAAAAAACATAAAAAGGGAAAAGCTAAAAGAAATCAAGACCCCACAAAGTACCCTGAGAGAGGAGATCTATGCAATTAAATATGAAAATATTTGCAGCAACATATGATGAAATGACAGCAGTATCTTGCTCCACTTGACTATGGTCATATCCAGCTATCCAATTCAAGTTCTTTGGGAATAAAATTCTACCCAGAAAGCAAAGCAGAATCCATTCACAAGGTTAGATAATAATAAAGTCTAGAAAGAATTGCCTCCATTGAAAGATACATGATATCATGATACACAGAAAATATTGAGTTTGTAAAGTATCTAGAGATTCAGGAAATAAATTTTTAAAATTATAATAAGAGGAGAATAAGAACAAAAGAAGTTGCATAAAAACCAAAAGGGTGAATAAATGTTGAGATAATTAAATGTTTCCAGTTACCAAAGACATGAAGAAAGTAAAAATAGCTGGGTGGAGTGGCACATGCCTATAATTCCGGTGGCTTAGGAGACTGAGGCAGGAGGTCACAAGTGCAAAGCCAGCTTCAACAATGGCTAGGAACTAAGCAATTCAGTGAGACCCTGTCTCTAAATAAAATACAAAATTGGGCTGGGGATGTGGCTCAGTGGTCTAGTGCCCCTGAGTTCAATCCATGATACCACCCCCCCACCAAACACAAAACAAACAGAAAACAGATGCTATAGACCAGGAGATGATATGTACAACACAGGACCCATAAAGAACTTGTCCTGGACTTATAAAACAATGTCTATGAAACAGCTAAGCCCATTAGAAAAATGGGCAAAACCTTGTATAAGTACTTATTAAAAGTAAATGTGAATGGTTTGTAAACATAAATAAAGATGCCCAATCTTGGTGGTATACAGAGGAAGGCAAAATACAGGTGTAAAGAGATACCATTAACACATCTCTCTGCATAACAAAATGTAAAAATTCAAATAGTTTCATATTTTGTTAAAAAGTATGGTAATGAGAACTTTCACATGTGGCTGGCTAGTGGGAGTGATATTTGCTAAAAGTATTGTGAAAACAGTTTAGTACAACTGAGAATAAACAGATTGTGATTTAGCAAATCTAGTTGATAAAAGTACTTAGGTAAATCTGCCTTACAAAGGTATACAAGATCCATAATGCTTTGAGTAACATTATGCACAACAGAAGAAAATTGAGAAAAACCCAAATCTCCATCAACAAGAGAATGGGAAACTAAACTGTCCAATATTTATACAACTGACAAAAGTGATGATGATTAGAAGTGGAGAGAGTGGGTATCATTCCCCTGTTCCTGATCTTTGAAGAATGGCTTGTAGTCTTTCACCATGAATATGATGCTGTCAGTTTATTCATTTATGGCCTGTATTATGCTGAGGTTTTTCAGGCCTGGTGGGAATATAAAATAGCACAACCATTGTGGAGAACAGTATAGCAGTTCCTCAAAAAATTAAAAACAGAATTACCATTTAATCCAGCAAATTCCACTTCATGGTATATAACTGAAAGGGTGCACCAATGCTCAAAGCAGCAATGTTCATAATAGCCCAAAGGAGGAAGAAATACAAACGTACATCAATGGATAAATGAATAAACAAAGTATGGCAAATGCATCGATGAAATATTATTCAGTCAAAAAAGGAAATTCTATAACATGGATGGAACCTGAAGACGTTATTCTAGGTGAAAAAAAACAGTCACAAAATAATAAATACTGTGTGATTGAACTTAAATGACATACCTACAGTGGCCATATTCAGAGTCATAAAGTAGAATGGTTGCCAGAGATTGGGGGAAGTGTTTAATTGGCAGAGTGTCAGCTGGGGAAGATGAGAAAGTTCTGAAGATTGGATGGCAGTGGCTGCTGCATAACAATGTGAATGTATTTAAACGCCTCCAAACTAACCATTAAAAATGGCTAAAATTGTAATTTTCTGCTATGCATGTTGTACCATATACACATATACTAGTTACAGTAAAATAACACCTAAAATTAGTATTATATTGATAGTTCATAATATAAAGGACATATATAGATACTTCAAAAGTATTAGATAATACTCAACACTCACTTCTGATTTGCAAGAAAAGTTAGCATTGCACTAAGCATAAAAACAAATAACTAGAAGAATTCTCACTGACAAGATCAAGGAAAGGGTTCTTACTATTTATTACTACTTCTATTAAATGTCATTCCACAATTGACCAATACAACTAGGCAATTGAGAAGAGAGGAATTCTCATTCTTCCCTAATTATGATCTATCCACAAAATGACAGATTGTTAGAATGGCTTTACTAAGAATTAATGAAGTTTAGTTTTAAGGGTCAAGGACTGAACAATGTTTCAGTCTCTTGACACTTTGCTATGTCATTAAATAGGGACTTTATAAAGCACACAGCATTATGCTCTAGCTCTACCACTCTAAGGGTTCAATGATTATAAGCTTTTATCATTACCGTTATTGTTTTATATTAAGTAATAGGAAGTTCTGTATTCCTTTTTTCTTAAATAGGAGATTTTAGTGATAACTTATATTCCTTTATTGTCTTAGAATGCTTTTTCAGCCTTTCCTGGTTAACTTATAAGATTTCTATAATTTGGGGACTCATTGGGACATGAACAAGAGTCTCCATAACCAAGCACAGATCTTCAGTATTTATGAATAGAATAGGCCATAGCAGATACCAAGAGCTTACATAGTATTGGGGTAGAGATAGGAGGGTTGGGTAGCAGCCGAGGGCAAGTTTTTTTCTTTTATATTTCTTCCACATTCTTTGTAATAGTTAAGGAACTCATAACAAAACAACTATTTCAGTACCCACTTGACTGAATTTCCTATGTATATACTTGCAATCCTACAACACAGTCTCCACACAGCAGCCAGATCTGTTAAGCATGATAAATCATCATTCACTATTTATTTATTGAGCCAGACACTTAAAAGTGCTTAGGATGAGCAATGAAAAACACAAAATTCTGTCCTTATGGCACTCATACTTTAGTGACAGGAAGGAGAACAATCAACATAAAAAGTAAAACACCTAGTATTTAAGCAGTATGCCTTATGGAATAACAATAAAAGCAACAAAATGGAAATAGGGAATATGAGAAGTAAGGTTTTCAATTTTAAATAGGGTCATTAGGACAGACTTCATGGAGAAAGTGACTTTTTTGGCAAATTTTTATTTTTAGAATTACTATTACTATTATTTCATTATTTAAGATACACATGACAATAGACTGTATTTTGACATATTATACATATATAGAGTATAACTTATTCTAATTAGGATCCCATTTTTGTGGTTGTACATTTTGTGGTTGTTTCACATATGAACACAGGAAGAGAAAATGACATTTAATTCAAGACTTCAAGGGGCTGAGAGGAAGTCACAGAAATATCTAAGGGAGAGCAACCCAGAAAGAGGCTAGTGCTGCTGTCCTGAGATAGCAGTGGGCCTGTCCTGTTAAGAATGAACATGCTTTTGGAGTACTTCTACATTTAAAATATTCTGTAGGTGAGAAACAAAGATGTGTATTTATTAACATAATGATGTTCATGTTGATATGAAGGCAGATAGGGACTCTGTAACAGTATATAATTCTTGGTATGTGTGTATGCATATACTTACACACACACACACACACACACACACACAGAGTTACCCAGGACATCTATAAAAATAATTTAAAATCACATATAAACCACAGGCAATAAGCTTCCACATTTAGGAGTAGTTAGGGGTAGCTTCCTGGAGAGCACAAAATATAGAATCCCCAACTATATTTTTAATTTTTACAAAAAAATTTAAAACTTATTTATTTATTTATTTACTTACTTATTTTTGGTACTAGGGATTTAACCCAGGGGCATTTTACCACTGAGCTACATCCCCAGTCCTTTTTTATTTGGACACAGGAACTTCACTAAATTGCTGTTTGGCCTCAAACTTGCAATCCTCCTGCCTCAGCCT